GGAACGCATTCCCCTCATGGGAAGTTTAAAACTGGCAAGCTGTGTGTAGGCATGTGCCTGTAGTCCCAGCTACACAAGAGGCTGAGGTGGGGGGATTGCTTCAGCCTAAGAGTTTGGGTCCAGCCTGGGCAACATAGTAAGACGTTATGCCTAAAAAAAGGTAAAAATAAAAACTAGTGTAGAACTAGAACTTACGTAATTGCTTCCTTTAGTTTAAGTGTCAATGTTCTCTACAAAGTGTTGGTTTCACTATTCATTGCAACAAGGGAGAACACACACCACGGGAGATCATGAGATACCTCCGTATCGGGATGTTATTAGGAGTTAATAGGATTTGCCTTGTGTTAGGTGATTTTAGGGGGAAAGTTTAAAAGGCCAGTGCTTTTCTGTGAATTGGATGCTGTCAAGACGAGGGAGTAATTCCATGATTGGGCATCTTAACAAATTTTATCTAGAAGAAAAGAATACAGTGATGGGCTTGGCGCAGTGGCTCATGCCTGTAACCCCAGCACTTTGGGAGGCCAAGGCGGGTGGATTGCTTGAGCCCAGGAGTTCAGGACCAGCCTGGGGACCATGGCAAAACTCCATCTCTACCGAAAAAAAAAAAAAAAAAAAAATTAGCGGAGCATGGTGGCACGCGCCTGTGGTTCCAGCTACTCAGGAGGCTGAGGTGAGAGGATCACTGGAGCCGACAAAGTCGAGGCTGCAGTAAGCCAGGATCGTGCCACTGCACTCCAGCCTAGGTGACAGTGAAAAAAAAAAACAAAACCACAGTGATGGTAGTTATAATTGATTTAAAAAAGCAGCAATCAAATTAACTGGAAAAGGGAGGTGTTTGATTTTCACAGTAACGTTGTTTTTGTATGTGCTTAGGCAAGATTATGAACTGGTCTTGTCATGTCTTGTTTCTTCAGTCACAGAAAGACCTTGTGTGATGTTGGTGTTCTGTGAGATTGTTTATGCTCAATAGGAGAATACTGAGGGATGATGGTGAATGCCAGGCCAGCTTGTGACAACACTGAGGCTTAGTTACCTGTGTCAGATCAGTTCCCTGGCACCCTAGATTTATTTTCTGAGTTCTCCATTTGGTCAAGGGCAGACAAAGTCAGGCCACAGGACCATTAATCTATGGTATTCAGATTTTCCTATTGCTAAATTTATGCTGATCTGGAGGATGTGGTCTGTAGTTGGGTTAATTACACTTTCTGTTGTAGGATTTGTTGAATCATACAATATGACAATGGCTGTGCAGAAACTAGGTCTGTGGACAGGATACATCGACCAAGTGCAAAAGAAGTAATTACCAGAAACAAAATGATTATCCATCTTTGTAAAAAGTCTTGAAGCCAGAGGCCCAAATTATAAAGTCCTGGAAATGAACACATGCCCCAGAATCCAGCTGAGTCTGTTTTTAGGGAGCCAGGAGGCTTTTCTCTTTTCAGTTTACTCATGTTCTACTGGCTCTGTAGTATGCTCTACCGGCCCTGAAGTATGTGACTATGGCGACAAGTGCTGCTAAATACAAACTCCTTCTTGGCCAGCTAAGAAGAAATCAAGGGTTATATGATTATCCATGAAAACTCTGGCTAAGGAATTCAAATTTAAGTGGTTTTCTGAGCTGCTATAGCAGAAGTTTTGCCATTGATGGGGTCTGCTAAGGTCAGAGACCTCTTTTGGACCTCTTTTTTATTGTATTACCTTTGTTGTGGGAATTTCATTCACAGAATACCCATGAAAAGTGAGCCGGTTATCCCTCCTGGGAGTTATCCCAAGTAGTCTATGATTCTGTGTTTGCTTCATTTTGTTGGTTTCTGGGTGTTCTTCTCAGAGAAACACAGTCTACTGGAGGGGTGGTAATTTTAAGCACTGGAGGGTCTCTAAAAGTTAGCTTCAATATAAAGAATAAGTTAGTGTGCAAGCCAGATATTCCCATAAGGAAGTAGTACCCTAGGGGAGTACAGACTGTATTGGGAGGATAATGGCTATTTAGCACATCAGGGACAAGCCAACTTTCTTTCCCTCAAGATAAGCAGATTTCTTGGATGAAGTTAAACAGGTTTCTCCAAAGCAGGCTGGAATGTTTTGGAAGAGAACGACTTCAGTAGTGTTTCAAGAATAGCCCCAATATTAGTTTCTAGTCCTGAAGGGGTAGGTTTTTCTCATAGGATTATAATGACTTCAGGGAAACATTCTGTTGAAGGTCAAGGTCCAATTTTTATGAAACTGAAGTTTGGGATGAATTTTGTGAGGAATGCTTAAGTACCAGAAGTGACCTACAGAAGAAAATCTACTTGATGAAGTCTATGAAAGCACAGCTATTAAATTTTGTCAACAATTCCTTAAGAGCAGTAGCTATGGTTTGATAAAAACACTCCAGAGAGAAGTGTTTCTCTTCTGCCTTTTTTCTTTCCCTTCCTTTCCTTCTTTCCTTCCTTTTCCTTCTTTCTTTTCTTTCTTCTCCTTCCTTCCTTCCTTTTTCTTTCTTTCTTTTTTTACAGAGATTGGGTTTCGCTTTATTGCCCACTGGCATGATCACAGTTCACTGCAGTCTTGGACTCCTGGGCTCCCAGGATTCTCTTGCCTCAGCCTCCTGAGTAGCTGGGACTCCAGGTACATGCCACCATGCCCCAGCTAATTTTTTATTGTTTGTAGAGATGGGGGTCTTGCTACATTGCCTAGGTTAGTTAGGCTCCTGGTCTCAAGTGATCTTCCCACCTTGGCTTTCTAAAGTGCTGGAATTACAGGTATGACCCACTGCACCTGGCTAAATATTGTTTATTTTAAGTAGCAGAATATAGGGAGTCAAAAGTAACAGGATGAAGATAAGGGTTATCTCCCTGAGAAGTCAATTTGTTAGTTAATCAAGGGTGTCAAAATGCAATAAGCAAGATTAGTGATAGGGTAAAAGATGCCAAAGAATCAGAAAATTAATCTTGTCCTATTGTCTTGGGTATAAAGCACCCATTTCTGCAGTCAGCAGCTTCTGGGGAAGTCCCAAGAATCTTCAGTTTGAGGTCTTCCAACAGAATGGAATGTCCGGTCGCCAGGAGAAAATGATGCATGTCTTTTTAGTTGTGTAATAGGAATCCAAGGATCAATGTCTTGTAGTTTTACTGCTGGGTCAGTTGTTGACAGTACCTGACAATTTGGTTTTGTTTGTTTGTTTTTTTGCATTGAGGCTCAAGGGAAATTGTTTCTAATGCTTTTTCAGAAGACCAGATCTCTAACTTCAGAGGCTGCTTAGGTGGGTGCTTTAAGAATGCAGCTTCTATCTGCTGTTGATAAAGCAGGAGTTCTCTTATAAGTCCCCTGCAGCAATTAGTGATAGCAGCTTATGTTAGTAGTATCTAGTATTGGAAGTAATTCACAAATACATGAGGAAGCTTGTTATTAACTCAGGAGATAACTTATGGGTCTTAGAATGGATTGACCTGTTGTCATGAAGGCAAATAGAAGTACTTTGGGCTTCGGAAATTAGAGAGCTTTGAAAACTATTTTTTAGAATTCTATTAGTTCTCTTTATCTTTCCTGAAATTTGTGGATGCAAAAAGATAGTGGAGTTTCTAAAAAGGTAAAACTTTACAGAGTTATTTAATATCAGTGAAATGTGTGTCCTCTTACTGGAGATAAACATTGAGATTTCACATTCAGAAATACAAAATTAAGCAATTTTTTTCTACCATTACAGTAATAGGTCTCCAGCAAGGAGAACCCCTAAACCCCTTAAGAATAAATAATAACCCTAATGTGCTCATAGTCCATTTAGAAGTGTTCAACAGAACGCCAAGACTGGGCACCAGTTCATATTCTACCTTTATAGTTTTGCCAGGATTGGGTCATTGACAGGTAGGTAAGACATACCTCCTTGGCAATAACCCTAAAATTGCCCCACCAACATTGGTTCAGCATCATTATCAATGTATCTCTTCTATTGTGGGTAATACTATGAAGACTTTTTGCTGGACTCCACTTTAATTATGGGTATTTCCTTAGGTAACAGTGAAGCATCTCAAGATTATTATTATTATTTTTAAAATTTTAATTTAAAAATTTTCCCCATAGGTTATTGGGGTACAGGTGGTGTTTGGTTACATGGCATCTCAAGATACTTTAATTTGCCATTCATTTTGTAGAGGTTCCTGAAGCGGTCAGGAAATCTTTGTTTTTAAAGAACTCCAAAATCATTGTCGAACCACCAAAACATATGTACTATCCGTATAAATATTTGCGCTGTTACCCTTTATCAGCTGGTTGGTCTAGGCCAGGGCAATTCCTACACTAACAGAGGACCTGGGATGGCATGCTGAGTCAGCCACTTGCTAGGTAAGAAACTTTGGGCAAATTAATTTTTTGAGCCTCAGATTCTTCATACATGAAATAGTAATACTTGTCTCACAGAACCGTATCTAATGAGTTATTGTACAATAACCAACCTATCACTAAGTCCTTCACATTATTTCCTTTAATTATCACACCCATCCTATGCGATGGCCTATTATCATCGTTTTGGAGACACAAAGTCACATCGCTTTAAGTGGTGATGCCAGGATTCAAACTCCGATCTTTCTGATGCCAGTGCCCAGTTCTTAATCTAACAACCCGTGACACTTTTCCACGGTTACGTTGAAGCGCCCACCATATAGCCTGACATGTTAGGAGGTACTCAACCTTTAAAACTTTATAATTTGCATGTGTGATTATAACGGGTACGTCCTAGAGTTTGATCTCTCTCTGTGCAGGGGCTAAAACTCCACCCCAGCCGAGAACTACACTGTCCTCGCGCGGGGCTCTCTGCGCCCCCGGGAAGCACCCAGTCCCGGTTTATTGTGAGCTTACAGTACAGTTCGCAAGGTCCCGGCCGGTGACGGCGGCGAAGCGGCGGCGTCGCCTGTCGCAAATCTCCGCCCTGGGGCCTTCCCGCCGGGCCCCGCGCGGCGTCCCTAGCAACGCGCGCGCGGACTCCCGGCCCCGCCCAGGCGGGCGGCACTGCGCCTACGCTGGGCCACAACCGCCAGTCAGGTCTCTCCCCTTCCCCTCCCTCCCCCCTCCCTCCTCCTCCTCTGCCGCCCAGAGCGAGACACCAACATGGAGCCCGAGGATCTGCCATGGCCGGGCGAGCTGGAGGAGGAGGAGGAGGAGGAGAAGGAGGAGGAGGAGGAGGAGAAGGAGGAGGAGGCTACAGCGGCTGCGGCGGAGGCAGCGGCCGCGGCGAACTTGGACGACGTCGTGGTGGTGGCGGAGGTGCAGGAAGAGGCGGGGCGGGAGTTGGACTCCGACTCTCACTACGGGCACCAGCATCGGGAAAGTACAGACGACGAGGAGGACGAGGAGGACGAGGAGGCCAAGGCCTGGCTGCAGGCGCACCCCGGCAGGATTTTGCCTCTGCCTTCGCCTCCGAGGCACCGCTACTCGGAGGGCGAGCGGACCTCCCTGGAGAAGGTGAGGCAGGCCGGGGAGGAGTGTGGAGCCGCGGCGAGTGGAGGGTGGAGGCTGGGTCCCGAGCGCTCCGCCCTTCCGCCGGTCACGCAGCTTGACGGAGAAAACGCGCGCGGCTGAGGCTAGTAGGCGGCCCCGACTCTAGCCTAGGTTCCCGCAGGCTGCTCCGCGTCTCCAAGGCTTTGTGGCAAAGACTTCTCGTTTCCTCCCCCTCGGTGGGTCTTGGGCCTTTTGAACTCCCACAGACGTTCAGGGGAGTCTACATTCCCCGTGAGTGGGGGTGAGAAACGCTGAGAGAGGACCACGGGTGTGTCGAGCCCTGAAGGAGGGAAAAGGCGGTGTAGGAGCGGAGCGAGTGGTTGCCTGGGGAGCATCTTGTTGGGGAGACAGTGAACAGATTAGCTTGACTGAATTGCAGGACTGCCCTGAGGGAGCAGTGTGGATAATGTACACCGCGCGATCACTTAGTCTGGAGAGGCTCCCCGCAGGTTTTCCTCCTCTGGACAATCATTTGTAGCAATAAAGGGGTTCCCCAGCCGATAGGAGGGGCTTGGAATGCAAGAGGCTTGTGATGTGGCTTCAAACAGTCTGGAAAACTAGAAAGCGCAGATAATGCACAATGAAGAAAGCCGATTTCATGGTAGGCCCCCCGAAGATCATTTTGAAAATAACTCTCCGATTTATTTACTGCCCTTACCCTCTTTTTTAACTTACTGCTTTTCGAGGAGCAAGACCTGCCCTGTTCAGTACAGTAGCCACTAGCCACGTGTGGCTTTTCACATCTTAATTAAAGAGAAAACTATTATAGTTTTGAATAAGAGTTAAAAATAAATAAAATGAAAAATTCCATGCGTCTGTTCTTAGCACTTTTCAAGTATTCAGCAACCACACTAGGCTAGTGGCTACCATATTGGACAGAGCAGATAATGGAACAGTTCCATCATCACAGACAGTGAAGGTGTAGAGTTTTGTCACTAATGAACAGTAGTGGTTTTGTCTGGTGAATATTCCAGCGGGTACTTAATTCATTGAACATGTATTATTAGGATTCACCATGTGCCACACATTGTGCTGGGTGCTAAGGAAACCTTGGTGAACCCAGACATTTTTGGTCTCTGCCTTCCTCGTGTTCATGGTCTAGACAGGGAGGCAGACAGATTTCAGATGATCATATAAATAAAAGTAAAGCTAGTATGTGCTAATATTCTTTGAAAGCATAAAGTAAGATAATCTGGCCTTGTCAGTGAAGCTGGGAAAGCCTTGAGGAGGTTATGCTAGAGCTGACATCTGAAGACAGTTTAAGGTTAATCAGGCAAAGGGGAGGGAAAGAGCCCTCTAGTTGAGGGAAAAACACATGAAAAGGTACTGTTGGTGAGAGAGAGCATGGCATTTTCCAGGACCCAGAAGCCAATGTGGTTTGAGCACAGACTGCAAGGCTTTGTGTGCTATGCCAAGGATTTAGGGGCTTTATCTCTGGAGCTTTGGGAAGTTGACAAAAATATTTGAAAGGAGGAGATGTATGATAAGATAGGTGTTTCAGAAAGATCAGGTATATAGCAGAGTGCAGAACAGCTGTGATAGCAAGGTGGGATGGGGAGCAATAGTCGTAGGTCAAGGGCATAAATTAGGAGACCATTGCAGCATTGCCAGGCAAAAGATGATGAAATTTTGGAATAGGGAAGTGTTGGTGAATACAGGGAAAAGTGGACTGATTTGAGAGAGATTTAAGAGGCAAAATTATTATACTTAATAACGGATGGGATGTGAAAGGTGAAGTAGGCAGGTGTTAGGTTATTGTTTGAATGGTTGTGCCAATATTAAGATATGGCCAGATTTATGGTGGGGGTGGTGGCCGTGAGTGGGTGTTGGAATTGGTTGGGTGGATCTTAAGATTATGAGTTTGGTTTTGAAGACTGAAGGAGAAGTCTGGGTTAGAGATTCCAAGTTGTAAGTCATCTACATAGAGACCATAATTAAAGCCACACTTGTTGACTAGGTCTCCTAACTTTTATTTTGTCCTGTGACTTCTTGCTTGAATAACTACTAATATTCAAATCTTTATCTTGAAGCCTAGAGGAGGAGTTTTTTAAACAAAATTTTAATTTAATTTAATTTTAGATTTGGGGGTACATATGCGCGTAATTAACATGGATATACTGCGTAATAGTTAGGTTTGGACTTCTAGTGAATCTCTCACCCAAATAGTGAACATTGTACCTGATAGGTAATTTTTTATCCCTTTTCTCCTCCTTCTGGAGCCCCCAGTGTCTGTTTATTTTCATCTTTATGTCTGTGTGTACTTATTGTACCCATTCTATCTTTATGTCTCTGTATATGCATTGTACCCACTTGTCTTATCAGTGAGAGCATGTGGTATTTGATTTTCTGTTTCTGAATTATTTCACTTGATAAATAGCCTTCAGGCTCCATTCATGTTGCTGCAAAGAACAGGATTTCATTCTGTTTATGGCTGCATAATATTCAATGATGTATATTAATACATACTACATTTTCTTTATCTGTTCAGTTGTTGATGGACACTTAGGTTGATTTCATGACTTTGCTGTTGTGAACGGTGCTGTGATAAACATATGAGCACAGACTTTTTTTTTTTTTTTTTTTTTTTTAATGGAGTCTAGCTGGTCTAGAACACCTGGGCTCAAGTGATACTCAGCCTTGGCTTCCCAAAGTGCTGGGACTACAGTTGTAGCTACTGTGCCTGGCTCAGATGACTCTTTGATGAAATGATTTGTTTTCTTTTGGATAGATACCCAGTAGTAGGATTGCTGGGTCAAATGGTAGTTGTTTTGAATTCTTCAGGAAATCTCCATACTGCTTTCCATAGGAGTTGAACAGCTTACATTTCCAACAACAGTGTATACCTGTTCCCTTTTCTTCTCATCCTTGCCAACATCTGTTTTTTGACTTTTTAATAATAGCCATTCTGACTGGTGTGAATGGTATCTCATTGTGATTTTAATTTGCATTTCTCTGATGCTTAGTGATGTTGAGCATTTTTTTCATGTTTTTTGGCCGCTCGTATGTCTTCTTTTGAGAAGTGTCTGTTCAATCTTTTGCCCGATTTTTAGTAGGTTTTTTTTTTTTTTTTTTCTTGTTGATTTGTTTGAGTTCCTTATAGATAGATGCTGGATATTAGACCTTTGTCAGATGCATAGTTTGCAGATATTTTCTCCCATCCTGTAGGTTGTCTGTTTACTCTGTTGGTAGTTTATTTTGCTGTGCAGAAGCTCTTCAGTTTAATTAAGTTCCATTTGTCTGTTTCTATTTTTGTCGCATTTGCTTTTTAGGTCTTAATCATAAACTTTTTTCCTAAGTATTCTTTAGGATTATTATAGTTTTGGGCCTTATATTTAAGTCTTTAATCCATCTTGAGTTAATCTTTGCATATGGTGAGAGATAGGGACCTAGAGGAGGAATTTTTAAGCTAACCCTCTTTTACGTACAGCCAATGTGAGAAAATTATTATCCTGTTTAATAATGAGCTATCCCTTTTTTTTTCCCTCCCGAGACGAAGTCTTGCTCTGTCACCCAGGCTGGAGTGCAGCATCACGATCTTGGCTCACTGTAATCTCTGCCTCCCGGGTTCAAGCAGTTCTCCTGCCTCAGCCTCCCAAGTAGCTGGGATTACAGGCATCCACCACCATGCCTGGCTAATTTTTGTATTTTTAGTAGAGATGGGCTTTCACCATGTTGGCTAGGCTGGTCTTGAACTCCTGACCTGTGATCTGCCTGCCTCAGCCTCCGAAAGTGTTGGGATTAGAGGAGCCACTGTGCCTGGCCGCTAATGGTGAGCTATCTATGGGTAATAGAAAATCTTACTTCTGAGAGTCCAGAGTATTTTTTTCCTCCCCACAGTTTTTTCTTTCCCCTGAGAGAAATTAGGTATTTTCTTATTTACCTGAGAGAATATATGATAATATATAGAATATATAGGTGATTTTCTGTGTTAAAGGTAGATTTACGATGATACAATGAGTATTCAGATACGTTTTCCTTTAGTTCACTGGCATATTGAAACTTACTGGCATAGGTTGGAAAGTGTTTTAAGGAGAAAATGCTTAGTATGTTTCTTGCTAGAAATTTATGAACTATGAAATTTTTAGATGTGTTGTATAACATCTAATGCTGTGTATTTAGAGGATGAGATCAAATAATAGGAAACATTAATTTCATCCAGTTTACTCTCAAGTTAAATGACAAAATTTTGTTACTCAATTTACTCTCATATCTCACTAGATAATAAGGGAGTTATAGTGGTGTTATGTAAGGCAGTGATTAAGTTTGTAGTCCTGTTACTGAGACTGAGTTAAGCTATGATACTGTTTAAATTTGAAGCAAAATATGACCAGTCTTACAGCTCAGTCTTTTTAAGAGGGAAGTGAGTGATTCAGAGCCTCACGTTGTTTTTATGCTGGTTCTACAGACCATTCAAACACTTCTTGTAATTCCTCAACCTGAATTTCTGAGTTGTGCTCGGGAAGGTAATTCAGTTCTCTGGGTTGTTATCACTAGAAATTCTTGGTCTCTAACTTTTAATTGGGTCATCAGCAGTGCTTGGAAATCTTTTTTTTTTTTATTTTTTTAAGATAAAGTCTCTCGCTCTTGTCACCAGGCTGGAGTGGCAGTGGCGTGATCTTGGCTAACTGCAACCTCTGCCTCTCGGGTTCAAGTGATTCTCTTGCCTCAGCCTCCCCAGTAGCTGGGACTACAGATGCGCGCCACCACGCTCAGCTAATTTTTGTATTTTTAGTAGAGACGAGGTTTCACCATGTTGGCCAGGACGGTCTCAATCTCTTGACCTCAGGTTATCCACACGCCTCGGCCTCCCAAAGTGCTGGGATTACAGGCGTGATGAGCCACTGCACCCGGCCCAACGGTGCTTGGAAATCTTTTTAGTTTCCTCTCTGTCAGCTTCTTTCCCCATCTTCCCTCTTAACCTCTGTCTCCCACCCAGAGTTCAACATCCCCCCATCAGCAGGTTA